TTCGTCCCCAGGTGCAGCTCCATGCACTCTAGCTGGTCCTTGACATAGAGGGCAACTCCTCCCCCTCTTCTCCCCTGCCTATCCTTCCTAAAGAGCCTGTACCCTTCTATTCTGACACTCCAGTCATAGGATTCATCCCACCACGTCTCCGTGATGCCAATAAGATCTTATCCCAACAGGCATGCACACACTTCTAACTCCTCTTGCTTATTTCCCATGCTGCACGCATTGGCATCAAGGCATTTAAGTTGAGCCCCAGATGAATCTGACTTCCTGGCTGGAGCGGCTGGAATTCCCTTCTTCTGTTCTACAGGTACTTCCAGCATATCTTTATCATTCTTGATATTCCCCCCCTCCGCCTTCAAATCTAGTTTAAAGCCCTGTCAATGAGCCCTGCTAGCTTTTGCACTAAGACCCTCGTTCCTCTCTGAGAAAGGCAAGTCCCATCCGGTGCCATCAGACCTGGTTCAGCGAAAGCCTCCCCATGATCAAAGAAACCAGATTTCCATCGGTGGCACCAGCCTCTGAGCCATCTGTTAATCCAGTCTGTTTTTCTGTTCCTTTCTATATTCTTTCCTGCCACTCAAGGGATTGAAGAAAACACTACCTGCGCTCCTGACCCTTCAACCAATCGCCCCAATGCCCTAAAGTCCCTTTTGATGGTCTTTGGACTTCTCTCTGTTACCTCACCAGTACCAACCTGCATTACCAGTAATGGATAATAATCAGAGGGCCGTACCAGACCAGGGAGTTTCCTAGTGACGCCCCTGACCGGGGCCCCAGGGAGGCAGCAGACTTCCTTGTGGGTTGGGTCCGGTCAACATACTGGCCTCTCTGTTCCCTTCAGAAGGGAATCACCTATGACAATTACCCTCCTTTTTCTTTTAACAGAGGCAGTCAGAAATCATGGGGCAGACAATAATCTGCAATTTCAGTAGAATGAAAAATCATAAGAATATGAAGTAATTCTTAGACTGAGGCCAGCAAAGGCTATGCTGAATGCACAAGCTGACCACAACACAGATACAAGTGTTTTCCATGAAGTATTTCATATAGCTCAGGACAGCAGATGAAGCATTACACACATGTGGATTCCTGGATGGCCATTAAACACTGGCACCCTAGAGTAAAAACCAAAGCACTCCAGTTTTTGATCTGAATGGGAATTGAAATCCAAACAGTGTTTGTTGACAGATACTTCGCGTCAACGTAACTGCTTCCAGACCTTTATCCTGAAGCTGGCGAGCAACACACCGACATTCAGTTACATGCAAGGGCACATGAACTGCGCAGCCAAACCACAAACTCCAAACTCAGGGCTGTTACAACAGTTGTGTTTCTGTAGTATAGTCAGGTTCTTCTATTTTGTTGTTGTTGGTGGTTTTGTCAGTGGTTTTGTTTGGGTTTTTTTGTTTGTTGTTGGTTTTAGTGTGGGTTTTTTTCCAAATGCCCTCTTAAAAACCCAACAAAATTAGCCTATTTGAAAACTTAAGCAACCAAGCTACCACAGTAACTTACTTGTTCATATTCTGGCAGTAGGACACCATATCATACAGCTTCTCTTGCCCTACATTTTCCATCACTACCATTGAGCTGATTCTGAATATATCACCAAAGCCATAATACAAGATGCAGTCAGCTTTTTGGTCATCTCTACCTGCAATGCATTAAAACAAACAAAAAAATTTAGAAGTGATTTATTTTAAGCATAGCATTTTCTGGTGCAAATTCCACCCTTACCTTCATGGGCTTCTGCAGCCCCTATATAGGGAGTGCAGGACTGTAACGGAGTATCAAGCCAATAGAACACAGCATGATACAGACCAAAAACTAAACAGATGTAGAACAGTCTTCTACAACTACAGAATCAAGCAAACTGAAAATATTACACAATGAAGATTCTGACTTTCTAACAACTAAAATAAGATATGAGTGTCATAGAGAAAGTCAAATCACTATTTTCTTGCCCTGAAAACTATTGGAAAATCCTAGCCAATACATCTTGAAGCATAATTATTTGCTTAAAAGACATTGTGAGCTTCAAATACCTTACAGGTATTAATGGTAATAAATACAGAGAGAATTAGGTATGATTTAACAAAATATTCTGTTTAAAACCAACTGTGCCTTTTATAGCTGAACTTAGATCATCTCTTGCTTCCTGTTGCCCACCCCTCCCAATGATGTGCTGATAGGTGTCCTCCTGCTGTTTACAAGATCCAGAGAGCAGAAAAGGCCTAAAAACCCTAAACTTTTTAAAAAGTTTAAAATATAAGACGAAAGAACTACTTCACTTGGATGGGCAGTCAGGGGGAATAAGGAAGGTTTCATAAGCTAAGTAGCACATCCAGGCAAATGAGTAGCAATGCTTAATTAATCCCTCCTCAGAAGAATCCCATTTAAATCGAGCTATGAACAAGAAACACAAAAGCTTGCTTTAATCATCCTAAATCGATAAACATTGTGAAACAATTATTCAGCACCTATACAGCCCTTGTCTCACCACTGCAATATTTCTACTTCCTGTTACCTCTAGCACTATCTAGAAGTAACCAGGTTCTAGCATAAGCAGATGCAAACTCCCACAAACTTTGATGACTGTTGCATTTCTTACGCAAGCATAAAGGCCAATTTATATCACACAGGCATAGTTAAAATCTGAACTAATTGCCTCTCAGGGTCCTTAAAAAGTTTTTCTCCACATAGATTCAAATTTGTCTTTGAAAAAGTAATAAAGCACAAAGTCAAAACCAAAACAAAACAACACAAAACCTTTTTTTTGAGCTGTAACAGCTACTATACATTGATCAATCCTTAAAACGCTCTGCTCCAGACTCCCCATCCTACTTGTATTTCTGTGGCCACTGAAATTCATCCATTCCAGTTGCTATGCAAAGGTTAAAAAAAAAAAATTGTTTCTGTAACATACATCTGAGCAGTCAATGTCATGTTATGAAATTATTCTAGTAAGCCACAGATGTCACACACACACACAAAAAAAAAAATCACATAAACAAAGTGCTGAGTAAGGCTAGGTACCCAGTTATTCTTTGCTACGCTGCAGTACAGAGGCTTGAGGTCATGAACGTAGCTTGTAATTGCTTTAAAGTCTCTTTACAGAAGTAGAGTGGCATTACACAATTTAGAACCTATCCCAAAGACAAGACGCTTGGCACAAATGACTGAAATTGAAACACAATTTTATGGGTTTAACTGATGTAAATGGCGACTTTGAAAAAGTCATTTCCAACAATACCTGCACGTCCACTCTCTTGGTAGTAGTTCTCCATGGATTTGCTCATAGAATGATGAATTACAAACCTCACATCAGGTTTATCAATTCCCATGCCAAAAGCAACAGTCGCCACTACAACCTGAAAAAAGATTAAGAAACCATCAAGATACCAAAACACAATTTGTTTAAAGGAGACATAAGTCTATGAAAAGTATCTACTAAACCTGGATTTGATTTGCTGCCCATCCTTTATGAACTTTTGTCTTATATTTAGCATCCATGTTTGCATGGTAAGTCCCTGCCTTGATTCCCAGTTTCTGCAAACTCACAGTAACTTGCTCAGAATCCTTCTGAGAAAAACAGTAAACGATTCCTGCACAAAAGTGAAAGATACTTTATTGTAATGTCGCAAAAAAACCCCCAAACAATTCCCAATACTTAAAAACAACTCTGAAAGTTTTATTAACTAAAAAATAAATAAATAAATAAAAAGCAGCAAACAATCTTTGTGCTATTCATTCTGCAGTATTGGTAGCCATGAAGGGAACTTCAATTATCAGCTTTGACTTGCAGACTACAGAGAAAACGTGTGCCAATCCACACAGCCATGGAAGGATTCCATTAAAGTTCAAGGAGGACAACAGTTATTAACGCTTATGTAAAGGGGTGCTGTTGATTACGACATCTATGACATCTCCCCTGAGGTTTCAGATCAATCTGCCTTTTTTTCTCACTGGTCAGTCTGGGCTAAATCAAGGACTACACACAAAGCCACGTGATTTGTGATCACCTTAGCATGGTTTGTAGTCAGAGAGCTGCTCTTCACAGCCACAGAGTTCCACAGCACAGACAGGGACAGACTGCTGCTCCAGAAAATTGGGTTCTGTTGCCTTTGTAATATGGCTCTCCTCTTTATTTGCACTACATAATTTATGGATTACACAAAGCCCAACTTTTACAGTTCTGCTTTCATCATAAAAGTGCAATTCACCCCACCACACACTCATTCTGGGCACTGTGTCACACACAAATCTTATGATCGAATATGAAAAGAAGTCTTAAAGACAGTAAGTATGCTGACACATAGATACCAAATGACATATGTGTGATTTAAGAACATATAGACAACATTTTTGAGCCTTGTTTTCACAAAAACTGCTATTATTCTCATCTGTGTAAACATTTTTCTAGATAAACATATTTCAACACTTCGATAGAAGTAAACTGTAAAGATATTTAACCACTAATGAATGAAAAGAGTAATTATTCAAGGTACAGATCTTACTAAATTTAATTCTAATGCTTCACGTATGGTGATGGCAGAATTTCTCTACACATTTCAGGATCACTTGAAAACATCCCTGTAACATTGAAGATTATAAAAAATAACATGCCTTTTTCTTTTTTACCTGAGAGCCCTTTGTATCTTCCATTAATGATCTTAACTATGTCCTCAATGAACTCTTCATTATTTGAAGGCTTATGCCGAACCTCAAAAATATAATACAGACATGCCAGAGAGTTCAAGTGGGCACACAGTCTGTCATACAATCCTATTATTCTACTTCTTGCAGTACAGAAAACACAACTATTCTGCCATTTAACCAAAATTATTATATTCTCCTTGTGTACAGTCAGATTACACCGCAAAAGTCCACAGAAAAAAAACCCCAAAACCACACAACCAAACCCAGAAGTTTTCTCACAGAGAACAATAAAAGAACATGTGGCCAAACTGAAAATACAGTATAACATAATAATTCACAACTTTTTGCCATCATATGACATATTTTCCAACAGGCTGCCTGTTTGAACCTCCTGCCTAACTCTCCCCTGTACACAGTCCTATCTGCTAAGCTTTCTCACAAAGACAGAGCAGCCCAAGTTCCTCTGCAGATGACAAGTTCAGCAAGATAAAGTAGTGGAAGAACACCATCATTCGGCTGAAAAGCTAGTTATCTATTCTAAAAATCCAACTGTACCTTACAGACAACACGAGTGCAATGCAGTCAAACAAACAGGTAACAAGACATACCTCATAGTAAAGATTGGGCCGGTTGAAAGAAGCAGTAAAGGTAATGCACTTCTGAACATGCAAAATTTTCTGAGCATCCCTTAAAACATGATTTGTAGCAGTTGCTGTCAATCCAATCAGGGGAGCATTGGGAAACTGCCTTTTCAAGATACCAAGAGACTTGTAGTCTAAGCAAGAAAACAAAAAGGGGAAAGAAAAAGATTTCTCATACCATAGATGTAAAGTTTAAAAATATATTCATGTAGATAGTATTCAGTGGGGTAGTACTGCAACAAATGTTATTACCCATCAATTTACTATCGAACTAATTTATACATCCAAATGACGTAATAAGGAGGCTGCACTTATCAAAATAGATGCTTTGTCTTCTAATTCAAGTTTACAGAAGCAGTCACAATTTGGAAGGTGAAATATATGGAAATAGAATTTCTTAAAAAGTTAGAAAAATAGAAATGGCATCACATTAACCAACATTCAGGTTATTTTGCAGGTCTGTTTTTACAGCTTTTCAGTAAACACAGCTTTGCTAATAAACAAGCAACAAGGAATTTGGATACATAGACCAGACTGTACTAAAGAAAGATTTTAAAGGCTCGGTGCTGCCAAGCACTTGCTGCCTTAAAACAGAAACGCAGTCAGAGGTACACATCCACATTCCACGTTGCCTGTTTAACTGGCATGGCTCTTTGCTCAAAGAGAGTTTTTAACAAAACTGCAAAGGTTGACTTTACAGTTACTATTCCTTCATGTCTTTCAAAGGCAAAGAAACAGTAACCAGTAAGTAAGAGTCTTCTACAACTGACAAGAGAGGAAACAGACTGAAGAACGAACAATTTCTTTCCCTCCAAGTCAAGGGCATTTGTTTCAACTTGCTTTAGAAGCAATTAAAATACATCTCATGAATTTACAAAATGCCCTACCTCTGTCACTCAGTGTTAAGGAGTGGTACACAGAATTACACTTCTTCATGCAGCAGTAGATTCAAGATGATGGTATTGTCCATATTAAAGAGAGCAGCCAAAAACTTTCATTTTATTAAACTCCAATTAAACCGAAATAGGAGTTTTTCAGAATACTCACAGCAAAATCTACATTGAAGTCGCTCCCATTTGCACGAACTAAGATCCTGAACAAGGATATAGTAATTTGTGAATTAAATTTAAAATCCTGGAGCTAACATAGGTACTTGCCACACACTAAGTATTTACTCAACACAAGAAGAAAGCACCCAGCTTTATTTCAGGCCTAACTCATTATTTATTAATGCCTGAATAACACTGAAAACTGGATATGAGCATACCAGGCCTAAAATCATGGCCCCATTGACTACAGCAATGGACCTCATCTACAGCAATGCGAGCGAGACACCCTGCTTGATAAGCTTTCTCCAGCTTTGACATGAACATTTTGCTTCTTGCAATCTTCTCCGGGGTCACATAAATGAGCTTCAGCTGCGAATTTCTGTCTAGCATTTCAGTATGAACCCACTTCACATGCTCCTGTTCAAAACAAAAGGAGAAGTCAGGGGCTAACAAACGAGGACAACACACTGCAGTTGCTTAGTACTAAGATTCTTAAGAGGTTATTAACAATTCCTAAGGGGTAATTAACAGAGACTGATAAACTGTCACATAGTATTTACCACTACTATATGTCTTTGTAGAAGATCATTATATATAAAATGTTAATTTTAATACTCGGAAAATCTGTCACAAAACTTTGTAAAAGCAAACTATTGAGTATTTGTCTTTGTTTCATCATGTGGTATCAGTATTTTCCCAATAAACTATAGTGTATCAAACATGCCTGTGGTACTACAGGTGTAAAATAATTTCTCACACACAACTGTAGTCTTTATTATTGAGCTTTCGAAGCGCTCTACCTCATAGCAAGCTCCCAGTTTGGCACATTGCATCAGGCCACTAATCTATCAAATCCAGTGTCACGTGGAAGTTAATGACCATGGCCTCCTGCTAGTCAGGAAAAGATATTTCACTGTAAAAAGCAATTGACTATTAACAGACTGAAAAATAAGTTGCTTCTTGGCCTCGGCATCAAACAGCTCACCATCCTAAAGTAAGGCAAATAATTATACGTAAAAGCCTGCACTGGTCAACATGTTACTAGCAGACAAAAATCACCTACTCCAATCTTCTTTTAAGTCTAGAATCTGAGTAAAAATCTACAACATACACCAGCCAAAAATAGTTCAGATCATCTAATTAGCCCCATGAAATCCACTTATTCCATGAAAGGTGTTGGCTTACATGTGTTCTTGTCATCAAAACAAATATGCAAGATACTCATTCACATTATCCATATCACAGCACACAGCTGGCAAGATACTGTTGGTAGAATGGCATTAGCTGACAAAACCATGCTATTCATTCAGCATTCATAAATAACACGCGCAGGCAAGATGCCAGGACATACACCACAAAAACCATGAAGATTTGGCAGTTAAACATACCTTACTGCTTGAGGCATTTAATAAAGTTGCAGAAACACCAAGCTGTTCCAAAACCATGAGTTGATCTTCCATAAGTGATATCAAAGGACATATCACAAGTGTGAAACCTGTAACAGTCAATCGTTGTGCAAACTGAACAGAGCACATGTCACAAATATCTCCTCTAACACTTTTTACCACATCAGCCCTGTTCTGAAGGAACTGCAAAAGGTGAGCTTAAGCTTCACACAGAGTCACAGATTGCCCTCCCAGACTGGCGGTGAGCGAGTGCGAGGTCACATAGGGATACTTCTTATCAACTGCCTGTGACATTATGCACCTTGTCTTAGAATCTAGACCACAAACAACTGAGCTGGAACAAACACAGTATAAGAACTAATATACAAAACAAAGACAGATGGATTCACATCTGTGGCATGAGATGCTAATTTTCCACACAACTAAGCAATGCCAGGTATTGGTAAATCTTGTCTTTGTAAGTAAGTAAACTTCCATGTAATTGGATGGGTTAATTTTCAAAAAAAGCTTAGAAAAATCAAACTGGACACTTACTTTTAAAAGTTAATACGCCAAGTCTCTCCCAAATAATCTGAAGCTAAAACTTTAGAGTGGAACAGACAAATAACAGATATCTGTACTTTAATAATTTACAGTCTGTATACTGAATTAAAAGGGAAAGAAAAAAAAAGTGACAAACTTTTAAACTGTTCTTTCAGTGTTTAACAATATAATGTATTGAAAGGAACCTAGATAAATTATTTAAATCTAAATCACATCTAAAAGGCATACCTATTTTAAAGCTGCTATTGCAGCTCTGCTATGCAGAGAAAATAGAGAGAGCATAGCAACTATTTCTAGTAAATCTCTCATATCTTTGCTCTTTTTTTTCCCCATACTGTGATATTAGACACCAATATAATGTTCATTCTCGAAATAACTATAAAAGGGAGCAAAGAATTCCAATTGTTTTTACACGATCTTTTCTTCCCTTACATACCATCAGAACAGACAGCTGGTAACTGATAGCAAAGGCTCTTTCCACCACCTGTAGGCATGACAAGGAATATATCCTTTCCCGCCATTGCAGCATTTACTGTTTCAAGTTGCAAGGACCTAAACTTTTGGAGTTTAAATTTGCTCTGCAGTGCAGTTTTTATCTTCTCATACCATGGAAAATCTGTCGAGGGAAAGAAAACAAACACGCTTCATAACCCAGTTAAAATATAAGAAGGAAGGCAATTTACATATACAGTAGGTGAATCTGGAAGCAACACAGTTTCAGATCTCAGAAAGTGTTCAAAGCTTCAGTAACGGCACACAAAAAGCTACACACAACCTGAGTCTGTATAAACTAATTTCTAATGTGGACCTTTGAAAACTCTATGAAATCCACCTCCAGACTAAAGGCTCTCGTCGCACATAGATGTGAACTAACGAGAAAAACTCACAAGCAGATGGAGAGCTTCAAAGTGCTAATGATCAAGTTAACTGATTAGTCCAAAATGATATGGAAATGAGAAGCCCTCCCTGAAAATAAATAAAACCAGACACTGAGGCCTACAACAGTCTCACTACTAAGTTGTCCAAATGCTTCCCTCACATAAACACAGTGGTTACAAATAGCATAGTGAAGGCAGGGCTACCATGTTTTCCATATGATCCAGAGATGACAAGCATTTATTTGAACAAAAAAAAAAAGGAAAGGAAATGTAATCTTCCTCAAAATAATCATCACAACATGCTTACAATAGTTTTTTGTCTTCTTCCATAAAGAGCTAAAGACTGCATCATTTAAAGAAACAATACTGTAAAAACTTAAATTGCAGGTGCATCAGGAAGCATATTAACCATTTTTGTATTTTTAAAATTAAAATGCAGAAAAACTGTGGGAACTCCAGGCCACACTGCATGCAACGCAAGAAGTAACTTTGGGACTTGAGGTGACATTGCTTCCTCCGGCCAAGATCCCAGGCTCTCCAAAACCAAGAAAAGCCTCCCACTGACTTCAGCGTGCTTCATACTGGGACCAGATTTAGCTATTACTCTTATTCAGCATATACACAGCATCTGACTGCAAAGACGTTAGTTTTCAGAGCACAGGAGGAGAGAATTAGGCAAAGTTACCCAAACCAAACTGATCTGTTCAATAGCATTGATTTGTAATTATAAAGTATCGGTATTCTTACATATGTGTAATACTTTTCTCAAACACAGACAAATATGGATTAGACCACAACATTAATTTCACTTTTAAAAAAGGCAAAAAAGAGAACATATACAATAGTTACAGGCAGAAACTAACAATGCATTTCCAAACTGCAAGTGAAGTAAAAGAAGAGGAGGAAAAAAAAATTACAAAAATATCTGAATTGAACGCGGCTAGGCATAACATAATCAAGACCCACCAACTATCCAGGACTTCTACTAACATTTAACTTGAAAACCAGCACTTTGAAAAGAACAGCAGCCCTTGCACCACCATAGGGCACTTGCCACTTGGACTAACTCTACCATAGTAGAATGTGTTCTAGAATCATAGAATGTGTTCTAGAATCATAGAATGGTTTGGGTTGGAAGGGACCTCAAAGATCATCTAGTTCCAACCTCCCTGCCATGGGCAGGGAAATCCTCCACTACACCAGGTTGCCCAAAGCCTCATCCAACCTGGCCTTGAACACTGCCAGGGATGGGGCATCTACGACTTCTCTGGGCAACCTGTTCCACTGCCTCACCACCCTCAGAGGGAAGAATTTCTTACTTATATCTAATCTAAATCTGCCCTCTTTCAGTTTAAATCCGTTGCCCCTTGTCCTATCACTACACGCCCTTGTAAAAAGTCCCTCCCCAGCTTTCCTGTAGGCCCCCTTTAGGTACTGGAAAGCTGCAATAAGATCACCCCAGAGCCTTCTCTTCTCCAGGCTGAACAGCCCCAACTCTCTCAGCCTGTCTTCATAGCAGAGGTGTTCCAGCCCTCTGATCATCTTCGTGGCCCAGCACCCATCTGATTTGCATAATTTTGCAAAACACCGGGGCCACATAATCCATAGCAGACACAACCAACGTCCTACCCACTCAAGCGAGCAGAAACACAAAGACAGTGAGAACTACCTTTCAGAGTGCAAGATCTCTTATCAAATCCTGAAAATATCCAGAGTAATTCTTTTTAGAGCATAAATGAACAAGGAATATAAACATTGCAATATATCCAGATTTACTCTGGGATTCTTACAACAAATCAAATCAACTTGTGACTTTGCAACAAGAAAAGAATAAAAGCAATTATAACAGCTCATTGTTGTAATAACTCTGCCCAGAAGAACTCAGATTAGTATTAAGGAATGTCCAGGGAATTAAGTACAAACATTATCCTGTGTAATTGAGATGGCAGGTCACCCAGTTCAACAAAATGGGATCAGAAAATAACGTTATCCACATAAAACTCTGTATGAACACATTTTCCCCCTACTGAATTAGTTTACTTCTATGTTAGAATACTTGAATTTGACTCTGCAAACCTTTTTTGTTCCATGCCTCGGGTGAAGTTTCGGTGTCTTTACTTCCACCTGCCTCTGAGTCTCCTGAGGACTGCTTTATCAGATTTTGTACCCTCATCTTCTTTTGAATAAGTTCCTGCTGTTTATCGACAAGCTCCTGAATCTGCATCTCCACTGCCTGCAGCTCATTTTCAATGGAAGCCAGTACCTCCTCTAGCACTGAAGTGAAAATCAAGGTGAAAGCAGAATAGAGACTACAGTAAATTGCTAATCCCACATTTAAAGGATACTTCATTTCATTTGTTAATTGAGAACAATCAAAATTAAAAACAAACCAAAAGCATCTAGAGAAACAGACAGCCCGACAGGCCCATTGATAAGATTCTAGCTTCTAATATTGCATATGCCATGTAAAAATACTTAGCAATGATTAACAACGTATTTATTAGTAGGTCATATACATACTCAGGTATACTGTGAGTTGTCATCTTCAATATAGTGTATGAGATATGCAACACTATCATTGCCTGCACTGATTAACAGAGAAAAAAAATCCACTTTCTCAAAAGCAGTGCCTCTCCACAGAAGCGCTTTAAATTATTTTCTTTTCTGCAGATGCATGTTAAGCACTGAAAAGCATATTGCACTTGCCCTGATATTAAAGCTCCAAGTGTTACAGCGCAGACACTTCCAAGTCAACACTCCAGCCAATTCCAAGGTAAGCCCAACATTAGAACATTTTTAATAGAAAGCATTTAGATGTGAGAAGCAACATTAATCTCAGAAATTAAAAGTATTCCGAAGGTGGAAATAGGGACATTAGCAAAAAAGCGACATTTCATGTGCCCACATCTCCCTCCTACGCAGAACCATCAAGGTTTGAACTCAGGACGAAAGCTTTTGCGAACACAAGTCATTCTTCACATTTGAAGAAACTGAAGCAAATATTCCCCAAAAGCTTGGGTTACATAAGTGAATCTTTGGCAGGAATTTGTCTCTTTACATCTTAACATGCAGCTGTGTAAATTACAGATTATGGTCTAGAATCTAATCCCCTAGGCTTAAAACAATAACTTACACATATCACAGCATGCCAAGCGTGTACCACTATTTCAGAGCCAGGCCAGAAAAGCATAAAACAAAAATGTCTTCCTGCACCCCACCCCACAAAATAAGAGATTGTCGTCCAACTGTAGCAGATATGATAATCTTATGGAAGCAAAAATGTATGATAAGGAAAAAGATACCCTCATTACAAATGGCACAAAATGGGGACATCTGTCTTCCTAAATGTCCACTGCTATGCAGCAGGAAAGAGTTGAAAGTATCTTAAAATAGGAAGCATATTTTCTAAATATCGAAAATCAAGTAATTTCCTTGACTAATCTCCTTCTGTTTTAGTTTTTACCTAAGAAACAAGAAGTTTCCAGTAAAAGAACTTTTTTTTTTCCCAAATCTGAAGTGTAACAACATAGATCCCACAAACTTTTCTGCATACGTTAAATTCACACAACTAACAGTCAATAACATCAGGCGATTGTGTCGGTTAAAGACAGCAAAACGAACAAAGTGAATACTAATTTTGGATTACCTGCAACAGCCGTCATCTTTGGAAATTAGATAATGTTATCCTTAGGAGATCTTATTTAACAAAGCAATTCTCACTAAGAATAAAATAAAATAAATAAAAAAGAAACATAATTTCATGAGTAATCCTTCCAAACTTAGAACAAACTTACTGCAAGAGATTCTTCATTAACATAGGAGGGTTTAATACAACAGTTTAATTACTGGTTCATCTAATCTGCCTATATAAATACACCCAGCTAGATGACAATACAGTTTTTCCCTTCTGTGAAAGGGACAGATACCAATTTACAATCAATTCCCAAGGCTATAGCTCACCAGCCTTCCAAACGAAACCAAGTGAATTTTAACCAACTCATGGTCTAATACAGACCAGTCACTCACCTACCTTCAACCTATTTTTTTTTTCATCTTTTCAAAGATTATTTTACAGAAAACTCTGAACAAATTACATTGTGCCTCTTAGAAAAGCAGCCTCCGTAACACCTAGAGGATCTTCTAGGTGGAAGAAGAAAAGCAGTTTGGTTCAGAGAAGGGAGATTAGTTTTTACTAGGTCATCAGTGAGATGAACTTAGAACTTGATTTATTGACTAACTTTCTGAACAACATTCTGTGTCGTACTATATGCTAATAATACAAAACTCAAGAAACTTGATATTCTCTCACTCTTGTTGAATTCTGAACTATTTATTAGGTACATGGGAGCCAAATCTGAGGGAAGGTGAAAGGGAACAAATTCAGCAGACCTTCACTATAAGTTGATCCTGACATAACAAATGTTTTACTATAAATGGGGGGAAAATATATATTAAAAAATACATATATGTGTGAATAAAATATTGACTTTGCCAGAAAGTTATAGCTAAAAATAAGGTCTCTCTCTTAAAAATAAGAGCCCATGCTTCAGAAATAAGTTGATTACTGTATAAGATAACTCAGCAGTATCCAAGTCATCCACATGATTCAAGTTACACAGTTCTGCCTTTGTATCACCTGCCACTTGCACAGAAGTATTTGGAAATGTTAGTCTCCTCAAAGCACAGAGCAACTAGTGACATCCAGAAAAATCAGTAGGTGTGGAACAGACACACTCTAAGTGCAATACACTACTTCTACTCCCCATAGTAAACCCAAACCTCATCAATACCACTAGGCTAATGGCTCAGGAAGCTGATTTTCTTATCTGAGGAGCAGGAAAAGAATGAAAATCACCTTTCAAAGCTTCCCTATATGCTGCTAAAGCTCCGCAAGTCTTTAATTTAGCTCCTACCTCTAAAAGAAGTAGCTCCGCACACCTTATAATTGATTCTACACCACCACTGCCAAAGAAGATCCCAATTTCGATTTGATTCCTCAAAAATGCAGCTCCTAAGAAACAAAATAACAATGAACTCGTAGACCACAGTGGACAAAAGGCAAGTGGAAGCATCTTGCCCATTAGGCAGTCTGGCCCCACTATAAAAACCAGCTAAATTCCTGTGAATTCATCCTCTTACAGCCTTTTTTAAACGGCCCACCAGCAGGGAACACAAGGCCTCTACATGGATACCAGCTGGCCGTGCCTCGAACAGGCAAATCAGTAACCGGCACCACTTTCCAGCCTGCACAGACTCACATCCCAGTTCCAGCACTGGAAGCTTTCTTACCCCACCACGTTACCTGGGTAACCCGGATGGTTACCCCATCCAACCTCCGAATCAAAGCTCTTCGGTCCCAACTCAAAAGAACTGAGTGACGTTAACAGAGCATTATCAAACAACCCTTAAAATTAGGGAATAAGCCCAACGATATTCCTACGAGCACGGCGTGTTATCCAAGCGGTCGTTTAACCGGATAAAAAAAAATTCCTCCATTCCGCCACGCAACCCTGGGAAGCCACCTTAGAAAACGCGCATCCAGACCGAGGGAGGAAAAGCCAAACCGACACCTGGGAGACGCATCTCCGCCGCTTCA